GGGTGGGGGGAAGGGGAGGGGAAGGAAGGGGACTTGAACAGATACAGATACTGAGGTGATCAGATATCAAGGTCAGGATTCCTGCTAAAATGGGCCTATGGAGGCCCAGCAAGAACAGGACAGACACAGGGGCCAGGCTGAGGCATAGTCAAGGAGAGAAGCCTACTAAAGTTTGGTCAAGGACAGAGTGTTTGTCCGGGTAAAGTACCTGGCCCTTAGTAAATGAACAGTACGCATCAGATATTGTCATTATCAATACCCATGGGGCCAATGGTTGGTGCCCACTTGAGTCAAGAATGTTCTCCATGCACCCCAGATCCTAGAGGTCTTTAACCCAAGCCTGTAGGTCCATAACAAGACTGTAATCACTTTGTCAGCAGAAAATGCAAAACAATTTCTAGGGTTAGAGCTGACATTTATTAAGTGCTTATTTTGTGTCAGACAGTGTGAAAAGCACTCAGAGTACATGCTCACAGCAACCCGATGCTGCAGGTACTGTTCTTATGCAGAGTCTCAGTGAGGTGACTGAGGTTAAGAGAAGTTGAGAGGCTTGACCAAAGACACATCACTAGTTGTATGAAACTGGGCTGGGACCCAAGGAGATCTGGCTCTAGGGCCTTGACATTCAGCCACTCAACTCTGCTGCCCACATCTAAGGGAAACACTGCCCAGGCTGAGATGCAAGGATGGAGGCAAGCAGGGGAAGACAGATTGGAGCCAGATGAAACACAAGGCTGGGTCTGTGGAATGTCTCAGCAGCTCACCCAGTGACACTGTATTCATCCCGACCAGCGGGGGCCAGAGGCGTGGGGTGGGGGCGGTGGTGGTGGTGGTGGTAGTGGTGGTGTAGATCCAGCTGACCCGGGTGGGGATGGAGCCCAGAGGAACAAAGGAAAGTGCAACTATTCTCAAAGAAGCCAGAGTTCCTGCTGAGACCCAGTCATGAGGATGGGCCCAGAGGAACAAAGGAAAGTGCAACTATTCTCAAAGCCAGAGTTCCTGCTGAGACCCAGTCATGACTATGGAAGGACAGATGGACCCCCACAGAGCACATTCCACAAGGCTCTGGGGTGAGGAGGTCATTCTTTCTGAGGACACTTTTGGAGTGAAGTTTAAGTTTTTCATGTCCCTCATCAGTCCCTTCTGTCTCAGCCAAGTTTTGTCTTTGTACCTTCAACAAAGAAACTGACATGCAGAATAGATTCACTCACTCATTCATTCATCCATCCATCCATCCATCCATCCATCCATCCATCCATTCAGAGAATAGTTATTGAACACCTACTTGGGTAAATATCTAGGAGAGGAGTGGCTGGACTATAGCGTGGGTGTATATGTAGCTTTTTAAGAAATTGCCAAGCTGTTTTCCAAGTTGGTTGCATTATCCTGTTTTCTTTTCTTTGTCCCACTTATCAATTTCTGAAGGTACTGCCCTATCCATTTACTTGTTTATTATCTGCCTTCCCCCGACTAGACTGTAAGTCCTAGGAGGGTCTTGTAACCTCAACACTTGCCTGGCACATAGTAGGTGTTCAGGGAATGAACCCACACCAACTGCACACATTTGCGTGCCCTGCTCCCTCCTGTCACCCGCACCCGGAAGACCTGCCGCCCAACGCCCTGCTTGTCCTCAGGGTGCCACCGATAGTCCAGGCTCTGTCCAGGAAGTCACTTGGTTGATGCCACTGGTTATGGAAATGGCTGATGAAGCAACCACAGCCATATCCTTCCTATGGTTGCCTGTGTCCTTTAGGTAAAAGCATTGTTTTGGATCCCTGCCTTGTCCCCTCCTAACGAGTGGTCTTGGGCAAGTTATTTAGCCTCAGAGTGATTGTGGGGATCATGTGAGATGATTCACACAGCTTTCCTGGCCCAGCTCCTCACACTTTGTAAATGTTCAGGAAGCAAATAGCTACCCTGCTGCTATGGAGGGAAAAACATAGCATCTTCCAGCATGTCTCAGCATCTCCTGGCTAGGATAAAGGCCAGGATCCAGGCAGCAGGGAAAGGCCCCTTTGATGGAGAAAGGACTCCATCCATGCCCTGTTCCTAGGAGCAAAGCCTGAGAGCTGGGCCTCAGCGTTTGAGTGTGCTGGCCTCCCCAACCCTGACCCCCCAGCACGGCCACTCTGCACCTATGTGACCTTGGGTAGTCACATCATCTCTGAAGTTTTTTTCTTTAAAAAACAACAACAGGACTCCACCAAGATGGCGGCATAGGTAAACACCGGAGTCTGCTGCTGCAACAACCACTTTCAAAAATACATCTAAAAGACAGAACGGACATCACCCAGAACCACAGGAAGGCTGGCTGAGGAGAGACTCTTCAACTAGAAGGAAAGACATCAGCACAATGTTTCTCTCTCATCGATGTTTCTAACTCTCTATCTCTCTCCCTTCCTCTCTGTAAATAATCAATAAAATATATTTAAAAAAACAAAAAACAAAATTATATATATATTTCAGAGAGGAAGGGAGAGGGAGAGAGAGAGAGAAACATAAACGATGAAAAAGAATCATTGATTGGTTGCCTCCTGCATGCCCCACATTGGGGATCCAACCTGCAACCCAGGCATATGCCCTGATGAGGAATTGAACCATGGCCTCCTGATTCACAGGTCGATGCTCAACCACTGAGCCACGCTGGCCAGGCCACCTGAAGTTGTTTCTGTATCTAAAAAATGGGGAGAGTAATAGTCAACCCCAGAGCTGTGTGAGGCACAAAGGAGGCATCAAATATGAAAAGCTTTGAAATGCTATCCAACTGCCCTTTGGTCCTCAAAGTTCTGGACACCCAGCAATTCTGATGTGGCCTGGCCTCTTCCTTTCCCCAGTAGGTAAATCAAACTGGAACAGAGAGAGAAAGTAGCCGAGTCACCGTCCTCAAGGCACAGGCGCCTGTGAGCACGCAGGGCCCTCCCTCCACATCAGAGAAGGTATGGGGGCAGGGCGTGGCTCTTGGGGGCACAGGGAATGTCGCTGGGATTTGATCTGGAGACCTGTGCTCCAGCGTTTCTGCTCAGCTTGTCACAAACACGCTAGCTGCCTGTTCCTGGGGTTGGGGAAGGAAGGCCTGGCTTCTTGTTGGTCACTGCTGTTCTTTGTATCTGCGATCTCTCTCTCTCTCTCTCTCTCTCTCTCTCTCTCTCTCTCTCAGCTTCTGGGAACAGAGACAGTGGGAAATGAGGCAGAAATAAAAGAACAGAAAGAATAGAATCCTGTGGTTTGGAGCCGGGTGGCTTTCCTGGGCTTCCAGACTTCCTCCTGGCCTTTGGCCCAGGATCTGAAAGGATCAAACGCCATTAGGACTCATCAGTATAATCATCATGCCCCTACCTCCACTCACTAAAGCAGGAAGCAGGTGTGACCACAGTGTCCATACCACCACTCACTAAAGCCGGAAGGGAGCGTGACCACTGTGTCCATGGTGTCCATACCACCAGTCACTAAAGCCGGAAGGGGCGTGACCCTGGGGGAAGCAGGAGCCTGGAGGGAGTCGAGGTGGGCGGGTCTGCTACTTCCCTCTTCCCGCGTTTTCTGGAGGAACCCGGACATTGCTGGGAGGTGCGAGAGCCCCCTTTTCCAGAAGAGACACTTGGTTTTTCTCGACCAGACGAGTGTTATGGGCCTAGCCAGGCTCCTTGAATACTCCTCCTTGAGCCTTAAAATGCAGCCAATAATCCCTAATGTTCCTGTTGTTTCGCCATCTCATCAGGATCCTATGCAAATTACCACTGATCTCACCCCGTGTGCTCAGGTGGGGCAGCAGAGAGCCCATCAGAAGGCTGTGTGGACCGCTTAGTGCAGCGGTTCTCAACCTGTGGGCTGCGACCCCTTTGGCGGTCGAACGACCCTTTCACAGGGGTCGCCTAAGACCATCCTGCATATCAGATATTTACATGACGATTCATAACAGTAGCAACATTACAGTTATGAAGTAGCAACGAAAATAATTTTATGGTTGGGTCACAACACGAGGAACTGTATTTAAAGGGCCAGAAGGTTGAGAACCACTGAAATAGCCAGTATGACTGAGGCTTAGTGGGTGTGGAAAAAGCAGAAAGACAAGCCTGTGAGCGGCTGCATCCCGGGAAACGGTTGTGTTCGACACCAGCCAGAAAGAGAGTGGGTTTCAGAGGCCGTTGCCCACGACAGAGACAACCCATCGCCCGAGCGGCCCTCTCACTCTGTCCTATGGCCTTTCATTCCCCTTACCCTCCTCCAGCCATCCTCTTCATGTCATCACGTGTCCATGTGTGTGCACGCACGCAGGCCCTCCCTAAATGTGTGCAGAGTGTCTCGCGCCTCCCACTGCCTGTCTTGGTTCTGCTCCTGTGTCCCACTTCTGTCCGAGTTCAGGCCGCCTCCTCCTTCCCCCTGTCCAGCCTCGTCTCTCCATGTGGACGGAATAGAATCCCAAGGGAGGCAACGAGGGCTCTGGCTGTGCCTTAGAGGTTGCTCAGACACGCAAGTAAGGCCAGTTATGGCCACCGAGCCCTGCGGCTGCCCAAGATGCCTCTCTGCCTGGGGCTTTTCCTGGTGTTTGCTTTCACCCTGTTGCTGGGCTGGCTCACTGCAGAGCATTCCTGTCTGGCCCCCTGGCTCCCTGAGGGGCAGTAAGAGAGCCTGTGCTCAGGTGGGGGAGATAAGAGAAGAATGAGGAAGAGGAAACCCCAGGGGCCTTCCTGGAGGCAGCGTGAAGGTGAGTGCACAGTCTTTGGTCTGGCAGCCCAGGACTGGGGCCTGCCCGAGGAGCTCCTGTCCCCTGGGGGTGGGGGTAGGGGAAGGGGTGGGTCTGAGGATAGGTGACTGACCAAACGTGAGGCATTGGAGAGGCAACATGGGGTCGGTGAACATAATCAGGTTTTGGATTCGGAGAGACTTGGGTGTTGCCCTTGGCTCTTCACTACTGTCACTAAGGCCTTTATTTCTCAATGCCTTAGTTTTTCTCCTCTGCAAAATGGGGTGCAACAGTTTTTAGCTACACAGAGGACGGGGGCCTCATGCAGTGGACACACAGCTCAATAAACAGAGGCCAGGGTTGCATTTGGATGGATGCATTGCCATTTCCTCTCCAAACAGGCACAGTCCCCCCTTATCCATCCCTCCTTCTCAGCCTTAGACATTTCAAGACACCCCCCACCCCCGTGGATGCCTGAAACTGTGGATAGTACCAAACCCTCTATATATCGAGCACTGTGTATACTATGTTTTTTTTCCTACACAAACATGCATACCTATGATAAAGCTCAATTTGTCAATTAGGCACAGTAAGAGATTAATGACAATAACTAATAAAAATGGAACAAATACAACAACATCCTGCCATAGAAGTTATAGGAACGTGTTCTCTCTCTCAGAATATCTCGTACTGGACTCACCCTTCTTGTGATGATGTGAGATGACATGAGGCCTGTGTGACGAGACGAAGTGAGGGGAGTGAGTCACTATTAAGGAAAATAAGGGTGACAAACACAAGCCTGGCCACAGTTGATCTGACAACCGGGACAGCTAACGGGGAGTTTAGTGAACAGCGTGGATACACTGGACAAAGGATGGTTTATGTCCGGGGCGGACAGAGCGGGATGGCGTGAGTTCACCCTGCGACTCAAAATGTCACCGATTTCAAATGTATGAGTTACTTCTGCAATTTTCTGTTTAATAATTTCAGACCGAGGTCGATCTCGGGTAACGGAAACCACGGAAAGCGAAAGCATAGATAAGGGTCACAGAGGGCGTGGAGCTGAGCAGGGCTGGCTGCCGCTGCCACGGAGACAAGAGACACCCTTCCCGGTGCAAAGCCAGGCCACCCCCTCGCCAGTGCATGCTTTCCCAAGATGCATCGGGGCGTGCCCGGCCCAGCTTCGATGGTGTTACTGAGTTCCTCCCCGTCCTGCCAGAGTTGGCATCAGTATTTCTCGGCACTCGGCCACCCAGGCCTGGAATGAGGTTGCCAGAGGCTGGCCTGCGGTGACCAGCCCCGTCATCTGTGTGGGACCTTGGCTGCCCCAACCCTAAGATGGGGAAGGAGATGAAGGTGTGAAACTCCCACCCACGAGGTCTGGTCGAAGGACCACAGCGAGGCCCAGGTGAGGGCAGAGGCCCCGTCTGCCTGGTTTAGTGCTTAGCTCCGAGCAAACGCTCAGTAAAAGGTGAGGGTGAGAAAATGCAAGAGACGTGGCAGGTGGAGTCCTGACCGTGTTCACTGCCGGCACAGACAGCCCGCCTCCTGGAGGGGCAGAGAGAGACAGCAAGGCGGCGTATTAACCATCATCTCTTTATTTACAGCGCAAGAGACCACATGCAACACAGGACTATGAGGGCGTAGCACCCGCCTCCCACTCTAAAGAGGGACCGCAGACCCCCCGGGAAGGTCCTAAGAGTCAGAACACCCAACAGAGGGCCCACGGCCCAGGCGCCCCACTTGACTTTCTCTAAAAATAAAGAGCAGTTCCGGCCCCGAAGCAGGGCCTCCCAGTTCGTCATGGCCAGTTAATTGGGCCAACTGGACTGACAACTCCCCCCTGACTGTGAATGTCCCTGAATCATCCCCATGTCCCTGGCCCAACAGTTCCCTACCCAGACCTGTCTCTCAGGTACAGCGCGTGGGAATGGCCCGGAGAAATCATCCAAACTCCCCCGAGATTCTGATTCAGCAGGTGGGCCCCGGGGCCTGCATCTCCCCGCGGCTCCAGGCCATGCTACGCGGCTGGTCCTGAGCACGGGGAATAAGGAGGGACTAGGAAGCCTCCCAGAGAGGCCCCGGATCCTAAACCAGCAGCCATCCTGACAGAATGCAGAAAACACACAATGGAAGCACCGGTTCTGCAAACCGCTAGTTCCCGCCGCTCCCTCCGCAGCACACACACACCCAGACACCCTCCTCGCCATCTCCCACGAGAGTGAGGGTCACCACAGGGGTGACGTGCCCGTCCAGCCTGTGAAATGCTTTGCTCTTTGGCCTCTCACCACCTCTCCCAGCACTATCTTCCCTCGCTGTTCTGTGAATCAACACGTTCCTTGCAGGGCACGTGGATCTCCGCCCTCCCTCCAGCTGCACAGGGAACCCCATTCCGGGGGCTGTGCGCCCACCACGCAGCATCAATGCATTGGGGGTGTTGGACCTGCTGGGAGGGAGAGCCACCCGAGGTGGAGGGGGTCGTGGCTTTGCGATCGACTTGTGTCTCAGTTACACCCCAAAGCGAAGCGGCCACTTTCCCAGGAGGCTTGGCCCTCGTGGTCTCTGACCTCAGGCCATTCCCAGCAGCCTGGGGAGCCACCAGACAAATCCTGGAAAGGCAGCCCCGTGGGAACGGCGACTATCTCTGGGGAACGGCGGTACGATGCCACGGGAGGAATGCAGGAGGGCCCGGTGACTGTCCCCGCGGCTACTGGTTTCCACTTGGCCCGCTGCTCAGCTCTCCGCCCCCCGCTGGGGGGGGTTGGTGGTGGTGGTGCATTTTTAAAAACTCATGAACCTGTTATCTCAAGCCACGCACACCTCCAGCTCCGCCCGGAGTCTGTGCATGCAGTTCTCCAAACCTCGGACCCAGAAGCCGCGTCCTCTTTCTGACGGAGCATCTCATGGCCGCAGTGGTCCAGGGGACACGCTTCGGGGAAGGAGCCTAAGTGGTGACTTAGAAATGATCTTTGACGATGCGATGGATCGTTAGCAAAGAATGAAACACCTCCTAACATTATCCTGGAAAATAAATCAACTAACACTGGGGGCTCATTATGTGCCCAGCACTGTTAGAAGCACATTATAAGGATTTGCAATTACTTCGCACAATACCCCTTGTCCCCATTATATGGATGAAGAAATCAAGGCACAGAGACCTTAGGGAACTTCCCTAAGGTCAGGAAGGTGGTGAGAGGTGGAGCAGCTCTCGGGCCCGGCTCCACGCTAGTCACCTGCAGAGCCTTGAAAACACAGGGAACCCAGACACAACCCTGACCAATGACAGCGGACTCTCTGCAGGTGGCCCCTGGACACCGGTGCCTTTGAAGGCTGCCCAGATCATTCTAACGTCCTGCGTGGGCTGAGACGAGTGGATTAGAGCAGGATCTGCAAACCGTGGCCCGTGGGCCACATTCAACCCACTGCTAATTTTTGTGTTGCTCACAAGCGAGGTTTTTACCTTTTTAAATGTGCTTTAGAAAATCAACGGAAGAATAGCAGTTTGTGACCTATGAAAATTATATGAAATTCACATCTTAGTGTCCATAGATAGTTTTATGGGAACATTCTGGCCTTTTCTGGTAAAGTTTGCTGACCCCCTGGATCAGAGAAAACTGGCTTCTGTACCAGCAGAAGAAAGTTAAGATAGACCTAAGAAAGACCTCCCTTCTCTCCCCCCACAGAAAACAAGAAAGAACTTCCTGGCTGTCCGGCCAGGGTGGCTCAGTGGTTGAGTGTTGACCTATGAACCAAGAGGTCACCGGTTTGATTCCTGATCAAGGTACATGGCCAGGTTTCAGGCTTGATCCCTGGTTGGGGGCGTGCAGGAGGCAGCCAATCAATGTTTCTCTCTCATCGATGTTTCTATCTCTCTCTCCCTCTCCCTTCCTTTCTGTAACATCAATAAAAACATTTATAAAAAGAAAAAGAACTTTTTAAAAATATATATTTTATTGATTTTTTACAGAGAGGAAGGGAGAGAGATAGATAGCTAGAAACATCGATGAGAGAGAAACATCAATCAGCTGTCTCCTGCACACTTCCTACTGGGGATGTGCCCGCAACCAAGGTTCCTTGACTGGAATCGAACCCGGGGCCTTTCAGTCTGCGGGCCGATGCTCTATCCACTGAGCCAAACCGGTCAGGGCGAAAAAGAACTTCTTGTCAGAGAAGTTTGTTAAACACTGAGGGGGCTTTGGGACCCCCCTGGAGATAAAAGGATTCCACCCCCGCCCCTACCCCACTTTGCAAATGCCAAATGCAGACAGCCAGGTCAAATAGATACTGAGGCCCCACTTCTTAGCCATGGAACTCCCCTGAGGGCAGTGATAGTTCCGTGCGGCCTCTCAGCTTTGTCCTGACCTTCTGCTTCCCACTGCCGATGTCCAGGGCCACCTGACAGCTGCCCCCAGACTTCACGCTGCATGGCCTGCCTGCAGCCACACCCTTAGGGCTCGATCACAGTCTCCAACCAGCCACCCATGCGAGGCACACACAGCAGAGGCGTTGTCTGCTCCCTAACAGACAATCTGCTGGCGGACTCAGGGTTCCATTTCCAAAGAGCCGGCTTTGATCTCTTTCAGTTCCACCGCCTCACCCGCAAGAGGCCCATGCCCATCGAACTGGAATAGGAGAAAAGAGCAAGCCTATTTGGTTTCTGCTAGATGAGTCTGTGCTCCTTGTGCCAGACCCCTGACCCCAACTGATTTTCCCAGGGGAGTAAACAGCCCTGGCATCCTGTGGGCGTGCCCCCCCAGCAGGTGCAAGGGATCCAGATGGGCAGGGCTTTTGTCAGTTGTGACCTGGTTTGCCCTGGACCAGAGAGTTGGCCAGGAATGAGATGCCAGGTGGGGGGATTCAGGCGGTCCCTAGAGCCAGCTCTGCGTGGAGAGACGTTCTGGGTGGGCATCCTGGGTCTGGCCTGTGGGGGGCAGGTATCCTCAAGCACCTCAACCTCAGAGAGGCCCCAACTCCTCAGTGGGCTTTGTGGCCGAAGTGTGGGGTGGGGGTCCTGGCATGGTCTCTGGGAGGCCTGGGAGCCACTAAGGTGTAGGCTGCCTATGGGCGATGTGTGTGTGCTTTGGGTCCCTGCTTGCATTACGTTCTCCAAGGGCATGAACTACAAAAGCTAAAGTGGTTGAGTGTCAGCCTAGGAACCAGGAGGTCACGGTTTGATTCCTGGTTGGGCACATACCCAGCTTGTGGGCTCATCCCCAATGGGGGGTGAACAGGAGGCAGCCAATCCATGAATCTCTCTCATCACTGATGTTTCTATCTCTCTCTCCCTCTCCCTTTCCCCTCTGGAATCAGTAAAAATATATATTTTTTAAAAAGCTAAAGAACCCTGGGGGTGGACGGTGCTGGGGCAACTCTGAGGCACATGTCCCAGGACAGGGTGAGCAGGGCCGGAGGAATCCGAGGAACCCGTCCCAGCTCAGCTTGCCAGCTCCCGGGGGGCAGGGGCCCATCTGCCCAGACCACGCCGTACAGACAAGCAGGTGTTTAGTGCAGATCTGGTTCTGTTTGAAAGATGATGCCTACTTGTCCAGGGAAGGAGGAGAGCGGTCAGTCATTGCAGCTTCACCCAGAGAAAGGACTAGCAGGGAACACGCCTCTCTCGCTGAAAGCCCTGGAGAGCCTGCAGTAAGTCCTTAGTTGTGAAGGAGCAAGAACACGGGCTGTGGAGACCGACAACGTTGGGCCAGGTTCCGATCACAACTCCACATCTGCTCCCCAAGACACGGTGGGAGCTCTCGGTGGGGCCGGGGACCAGCGGCGTGGGCAGGCCCTCGGCTTGTAGGAAAGGCAGAATCGGCTGAGTAGGAATCTGAATTTGCACCCGACCCCAGAGGGCTGGTACACAGGTTAAGGTCTGAGGAGCACTGAGCTGGGACCTCGGGCAGGTCTGATGACTCAACGGTGGCTGTTGCCTCACCTGTAAGATGGCGAAATGGTCGCGGGATAACGTACGTCACGCAGGTAGCGCAGTGCCTGGCACAAAAGAGGTGTTTCGTGCTCATCTCCCACCCAAGTTCCCATTTCTTTTCTGTTCAAAAACCTCTTCACTTTTAAAACTCGAAGCTGTTGCAGTGCTGCGGTCGGACAGTAGAGGGCACTATTGACATTGCCATCGCGGAGAACAGGGCACCAGTTGCTCAGGCCCTGTGGGTCCCTCAGGGGTGTGGGTGCAGACGAGCTGCTAGCTCGGCTCCTGGGCAGAGGCAGTTCCCCAGCGCTCCCTTCCCGGGGCTGCGGGTCCTGGATCGGGTCCTGGGTTGGAGCCTGCAGCCTCAGACATCTGGTCCCCCATTTGCTCTCCCACCGCTAGTTATAAACAAACTGTCGCTTCTCCAAACCTCCAGCGCTCAGTCCCCAGGCCTGCGGGGAGGCGCCTCAGTCTGGGCCACTAGACGTTGATGAAGGATCCCTGGTCGCCGTTGGCCGTCTCGGGCTCCACGCAGCGCCCCTTCCTCCGCGTGACCCTGCGGTTCCGGTGGAACTTGGCATAGCAGCGCAGCCCTGAGCAGAGAGAGGCAAGGGGGTCAGGGGTGCAGTGGGCCAGTCCCCTCCCCATCCTCTCCCCTACACACCCTCTGGGACCCCTGCCCCCTCTCACCACCACCCCCTTCTTTATTCTGCCCTACAACCAACCCACCCCCCTCACAGCAGCCTGAGTGCGGAGGAAGGAGGGGTGAATAGATGGAGCACAGGGGACATTTAGGTCCATGAAACTCATCTGTGTGACACTGCAATGGTGGCTGCATGTCACTGTGCATTTGTCAAAAACCACAGGATGTACCACACGAAGAGCAAGCCCTAACGTTCGCTATGGACTTTGGTTAACAACAACAATGCATCACCCTGACTGGTAGCTCAGCTGGTTAGAGCATCGTCCGGATGCACCAAGGTTCTGGTTTCAATCCTTGGTCAGGGCACACGCAAGAAGCAACCAATGAATGCACACATAATGAAAACAAATCATTGTCTCTCCCTTTTTAGGAGCAACAAATGTAAAATAAACTGCTCTTCTTGAAAATAATAATAACAACGTATCAGGATCGACTCATCACTTGTAGAAAGTGTGCCACACGAATGGGAGATAATAACAGGGGGAACCGTAGGAGGAGAACTCTGTGTTTTCTGCACACTTTTCCTGTAAACCTAAAAATGCTCCAAAAAAAGGTCTATTAAGCCCTGGCCGGGTGGCTCAGTTAGTTAGAGCATCGTCCTGTACACCAAAAGGTTTCAGGTTTGATTCCTGCTCAGGGCACATTTCTAGGTTGCGGGTTTGATCCCCGGTTGGGGCGCATACGGGAGGCAACCAATTCAAATTTCTCTCTCACATTCTCTCTCCCTCTCCCCCCCCCTCAAATTAATAAATATATCATCGGGTGAGGACTTTTTAAAAAGTCTATTAAAAACTTTTTAAAGGAATGAAGATTCTGCCCTCCCCTATACAACCAGGAGGTTCTCTATTGTGCTCGAAAGGAAACCTGACCTCAGTCTTCTTGCTTTTCCTCATATATCCAGCCATTTCCTAATACTTTAAGCAATAAAAAAATAATAATAAAAAAAAATATTAAATAGAACAAAAAACAAAACAAAAACTTTTTAAAGGAACGAAGATTGTGCCCTCCCCTATACAACCGGGAGGTTCTCTATTGTGCTCGAAAGGAAGCCTGACTTCAGTCTTCTTGCTTTTCCTCATATATCCAGCCATTACCGGCCTCAGGACCTTTGCACTTGCTGTCTCTCAGCCAGAAATGCCTTCCCCAAGCCCTTTGCATAGCTGGCTCCTTCATGGCCTTCAGGTCTCAAAGGGAACCTCCCTGCCCACCTAATTAAAGTAGGTGTGGCCTCTCCACATCGTCCCAGGCACCCCCTGATATACAGGGGTAGACATACTGTTCATTTAAGTCCACGTGCTCTTGATGGTGGCTGAAAGACGTCAGCGAGCAAATCCCTACATTTCAGGTTAGGAGTGACCACAGAGAGAGGACCTAGTGCTACTTTAAGATCCACTATGTCACCATCAAGAGAATAAAGGGGCTGCTATGAAGTGTGTGCTGAGTGGCCTAGAACTGACACCTGGGTCAACTGGGCTTTTAGAACTGGGACCACACAAGTGACACTTGGGAGTGGACAGGGGATTCACGAGCAGGAGTGGTTGGTAGTCACAGAAGCCCTTCTGGAACCCTCCGGAACGCAGGCTGGCCCCGACTGCCGGGCTTCAGCTCCGAGCCCTGTGTCCAGCGTTTTGGGATATGGTCCCCACGAGGGTTCCTGGCACCCCTAGATCCCTCCGGTGTGGCATCTTGGTGACAACCTCTTCCTGGACCATCTTTAGTTCCTGGCACCCCTAGATCCCTCCGGTGTGGCATCTCAGTGACAACCTCTTCCTGGACCATCTTTAATGAGCTGACTGAACTGTCGCTTCCACTCTTCATTTTTTTGAGCCCGAGTCTCCAGGGAGGAAGCAAGAGTTTTGATGGAGCCGACCAGTGCGAGGGCCAGCGGAAATGAGCAGATGGGGCTTTGTTTGTAGACAGAGCCTTTGGACCCCTGGAAAGCCGTCCCCTCCCACCTGAGGCCCAGGGAGGGAGAGAGAGAGGAAGGGGGAAAATAAGGAAGGAGGGAAGGAAGGAGGGAAAGAAGGAAGAAAGAGAGGAAGGGAGGGAGGGAGGGGGAATGGATTGATTCCTGGGCAGAGGGGCCACCATTGAGCATCCAGCCAGGCACCACTGGGCATGTGCAGCTCAGTGGGGCCAAGTCCCCCTACTTAGGTGGGCTGGACCTGGAGGCCAAGGACTGAGGTTCTGCCCCAACGCTGTTCTGCGCTCCCTCCTGCCCACTCGGCACCTCAGTCTCCTCCTCTGTGAAATGGGGCCTCGACCCTGCATCCAAGTACCAGAAGGCAGCTTCCCAGCATCCCCCCATCTTCCACGCCTGCTGCCTCCATCCCCTCTCCCCTCCCAGCTGGTCCTTCCTGTCTCCATTCCTGCCCCCCACAGCCCTGCAGCCATAGTGAACTGTTAACCCCAAAGCCAGACCATGTCACGCCCCCGGTTACAACCTGCCTGCAACTTCCAATTAGAAATCAAACAAGGCCAACAAGGTTCTGCATGATCCCCCCAACAAGCTTCCCCCACCTCCCCGTGTGCCACCTTCCCCGTGGCCACCGTGTGCCCAGCCCACACACCAGCCTTGCTCCTGCCCGAGGTCCTTGCCTTTCCCCTGCCTCTCGCCTGGGACGGTCTCCCTGACAGCCACCATCTTCAGGTGGCTGGTTCCACTGTCCACTCCCGCCCCTCCTTTCTGTAACAACCCAGACTTTTCAGCAGACCTCCGGGCTATTTTCCTCGCAGCCTTATTGCTTCTAAAGGCATCTCATCTCACTGGGCAGGGAGATAAGATCTCGTCTCACTGAAATGGACTCTGGGTGCAGAACTTGCTCCTTTTTAAAAAAAATATATATTTTATTGATTTTTTTACAGAGAGGAAGGGAGAGGGATAGAGAGTCAAAAAAATCGATGGGAGAAACATCAATCAGCTGCCTCCTGCACGCCCCCTACTGGGGATGTGCCTGAAACCAAGGTACATGCCCTTGACCGGAATTGAACCTGGGACCCTTCAGTCTGCAGGCCAATGCTCTATCCACTGAGCCAAACCAGTCAGGGCAGAACTTGCTTCTTCTTTTAGCTGCTGAATCCCAGAACAGTACCAGACACATAGTAGGTGCTCAGTAAGTATTTCCTGAATGAATGGATGCATGAATAATGGGACGTACACAGTGTTACTGCTTTCACAGCAGATAATTGTTAGCCTGTTGTGAGCCAAAATAGGGCATGTATCTGAGGATGGTTAATAGAGGCACCGAGACCAAATCCTCCCACTCAGGAGATACGAACACTAATTGGATACTGGATGATACTGAGTAATTGTTCATTTTTGGTATTTTGTTTTTAAAAGAGTACTTTTCTTTCAGAGATATACACTGAAATATTCACAGATAAAATCTCTCAAAACTCCCAGGAGTTGCATCAAAGTTATATTGGAATGGGGGACTGGGCAGGGGAGAGACGACAGATTGGCAGTGAGTTGGCAATTATTGGAGCTGGGTGGTGGGAAACAGGGGTTCATTATTATAGTGACTACTATTCTGACTACTTCATATATGCTTGAAAAATTTCAGAATACAAAATTAAAAATGTTCTCCTCCTTTTCCAGCTGTGTGAGTTTGGGCAAGTCACTTAACCTCTCTGTGCCTGTTTGCTGATGTGTAAAATGGAGATCATAATCGCTCCCTCCCTGGATGGCTGTGAGGATTAAGAAGGCGTGAGGATTAAGGATTAAGGAGGGGGAGGAGGATAATGAGAGTCAAGTGCTCAGCACAGAGCCCGGCACTCCTGGGCAGGAGGGCACCTACTGTTCCGGGTGGGAGCTCAGAGGTTAAAGCAGCAGCCGGCCAGCCAAGTGCATCCTTCGCTGAGACGTGCTGGGAAACCCACCCCCCAGCCTGATATCACACTTGGAATGCCTCCCGGGGGTAGAATTCTGGCCTGAAAGCACCAGCCTTCTCGGGTTTGATCTTATTTAAAGAGATAGTCTCCTCTCTCCTCCCTTCTCCCGCCTCCCGATCATGGGAGATCAAGCCAGCTTGTATTTTGAGAGGTGAGAAAAGCAAACCTGAGAAACGATACCAGGACTGGAGACTAAATGAGTTCACAGATTGGGAAGGCACCGAGCAAAGCTTTCCTTGCTCACGGCGTCGGCTCCCGAGGGATTCTCCCACCCCTCCTTTGCCGCAGGCCCCTCGGGCCACCTCCGCCACGAAATAGCATCCGGGCTCCGTGCAGAACCGGCTTCAGAGCATGAGGGATGCCCCCCCCCCGCCCCCGCCCGGGGGAGTCCAGGCTCACCTTCCGCACACATGCAGTCGTCGAAGCATTTGTTGTTGAGGCCCCGGTTGTGGGGCATGCAGATGTGCCCCCTCAGGTCACAGCAGGTCCCTGCCAACACAGCAAGCACACGTGGTCAGCCAAGCTGAGGGGACCCTCCCCACGCCCGGCACACGTCCCACCGGACAGGAGATCCATCATCGCTGCGGCAGGGCCGTGCCCTGGCGGGGTGGGGCCATCTGGTGTGCAAGGCTCCCGGCCGGAACCACTGACGGATGTCACGGCCCAGGGCCTTGCGGGCGGGTGGCAGAGACCCAGCTGCCCTAGATGGACAATTGATTGATCATGGGAGGAGCGGAGCACTGTGGGATCACCTCCCGGGGACAGCGGGCGGAACAGCTGGGGGCTGCCAGGTGTGGAGTCAGCGTGGAGCTGGGGCGCCTCAAGGATCGTTGACACCAACGTCCTCTTCTGACAGATGGAGAAACTGAAGGCCCCCCCCTCCCCCCGGGAAGCACTGAGA